AACGACACCATCCTCGAAGGCTTCAATCAAAACGAGTCCGCTTCACGTACCCCGGCAGTCTCAATCGACCTGTCACACGCTTGCGACTGCGTTCGCCATGTTCAGCTCCTGCAGGACTTGGTCTCCCCGAAACCTCCCGACCGGCCCGGTCCGATGGTTTGCAGCTTATATCCATGGCCGCCATGATCGAAGCGCTCTCTCTAAGCCTCGTCACCTGGCCATCACCGTCAGCAGTGTGTCTTCATCGCTGGTCCGTAAATCCAAGCTCCTTGGTGTCCGTTTCGGTCCGCTATTCACGTTCGCGAACCATGCCAAGGAGATCGCAGGCAAATTGATCCGCTGCACCGTGGTCCTTAAGGCCCTAGCGGGCACACCCTGGGGCTGCGACCATATTCAAAGTGCTGGCCGAGCCTCACTTTGGTTTCCTAAGATCAGCTCTTTCAGCCTCCACCGCCGTCAATCAGCAAAGAAAGCCGCCCTTCGCTCAATCACGGGTTGCTATAAAAGAGTTTATCGATCATCTGCATGCAGAGCCTTCTGTCCTGCCGGTTGCCTCTCACAACGCACTCTCGGGGCAGCAGTTTTGGTAGGCCTGTTCGCAACCCGGCCATCCAAATTACCACCATTGCTATGCTCCTAAACCCAGCCACAGCATTCGGCCGTCTGTTAAAGCTCTCCGCAATGAAGCTTTCGCCCCGCGTCTCTCGGATCGATCCGTTGATGGCTCTGCCATTATGACAGGCTTCCAGCTCCTTCACCAGAGTGTCGTCGAAGCAAAACTAAGCAAACATCCCGGGGTCCATCTGGGTGGCTATCCACCTTCAATTGCGGCCTCAGAGCAACAACTTCCGAGGGTCACGCCGTGGCTACTCAATACTCCTCCGCTAGTACCAACACCGGCCCGACCCTTCTACATACGATAGCTGCCCTGATTGCGACGTTTCTCCGCATGACCGTTCAGCACCTTTCCGCCTGCAGTTCGCAGCCAGGTAGCCAAGTTAGTCGGCTTTTCTCCGTCTTCCAATTGCAACCAGTTTGGACCCTGGCCGGGACTCTTGATTAAACAATGGCTACGACAAAACACCGTGAGGACAATGAGCTACACTAATTGCTGCTTATTAACCTTGAACGACCCCCGATCCCATTGACATTTAATGTGCGCATACCACCATAATTGTTCCGCTACCATCCTTTTTGGTTGCCGTTTCCTACGTCTTGGCGACTCGATGACCGCTGACAGTTGATTGGCCTATGAATACTATAATTACCCCCGTTTTGTTTGCTGCTCCTGATCTCTGAAGATGGACTCTGTTAAGGGTCCGAAACCTCGGGAAAATAAACAAATTGATCCAGCGCTCGAAAAATCTTCTTTAATCAGGCGCGAATAAGTATTGTCAATTAAATAAAAAGAACTATTGGTAGGAAGATGCGGTTAATTCTCCCAACAGTGTATCTCTTGCATGCATTTTTGCTAGGCTCGAAGGTAAAGAACGGACTCTAGATGAGCATAATTTACTGGCCAAATGCTGCCGAACTAGCAGTCAATCAGCTCAAATACACAAGTGAGGCTGAACCCGTAATTACCTCGTATAGGCGTGGTGCAACATCAACTGAGCGGATTTTCGCGTTAACGGACTATTTAAGGTTAGGCCCTAGCGTTTAATGGCAGACTGGGATCATCATTACCTTGACGAATCTAATGGTTCTTTCCGAATGCTTCTTCGCGTTGACGCTGTTCACATTTCAACTTGAAGATTAAATAATACAAGTAAATGTATAACCCGCTTGTAATTTATACTTTCTATGTGTCTGATGTTAATTGATGTCACTACAAAGTTAGAATACCGCCACTGTATGAAGACCGTTTAAATGGATGATATTGACCTTGCGAACATAGATCTTGATCTCAGATATCGCCACTGTATACAGACGGTATAAATGGATAATATTGATTCTGTGAACATACATTTCGATATTGGTTTTCGCCTCCAGCAGCAGCAAGACACAAGTATTTGCAAATAAGACCAGGGACAATAGGTGTGCGAAACTTGGAGACTGCGTGCTTAGACAAACCCACAGCACTATGAGATCCGTACTTTCATTTCGCTTGACTGGAAACCCAACGCAAACGCGTCGAGTTGGATGTCAAGCGCCTCAACGATTAGATAAGAAATTCTACCGTTGGTCTCAAACAGCACAGTCACTTGTGTGCTACACAGTTAATCACAACAATCCAAAAGTTAAATGTACGCTTAAGAGTAAGTACCACTCAACGGGACTATATCAGCTACGGGTAAGGAGCATAACCTCTGTGAGATCATGATCACATAAAAACAGGCGCATGGGTACATTTAGTCGAGAAACCGCCACTTATCTCTCGATTAAATAGACCAGAACGTCAGCATTTCCTTTGTGAAGACCGTACGATTTTTTCTCGAATACAGACAGGCAATTAAGGCTGTATGCTAACAAACAGCCTATGATGTCCCCCGAGTTTCCACAACTGTACACTTGAGGTGGCAACTACGCCGTTAAAAACCTACACACTGCCACCAACAGCCCTTATCCCAGTTCCCACACGACACCGGCAAATTTATTCACCTACGGTCAGTGTTCGAATCTTGGAGACTGTGTGCTTAGACAAGCCCACAGCACTATGAGAGTCGTACTTTCGTTTCGCTTGAGTGGAAACCCAACGCAAACGCGTCGAGTTGGATGTCAAGCGCGCCAGCACCACCCCCAATAGGTTAAACAGCAACTTCTACGCTGGACTGAAACGGCAGAGACCTTTACACTTCACAACTGACCAGACCAGCCTGCCAACTTCGCAGGAGTGAAGGAGCGTCATTCAACTACGTCATTCAGACAGGCACAGATTGTGACCCCTACGAAGAGGTGGCCAGAATCCAATAGATATCTTCGGGGATTGGCTAGGATGACTTTTAAAAAGGCAAGCTTGAGATCAGTACATGAAAATCTCCCACCTTATGATTGGCTCATCTACGCCGTAAACTGGACTGATTATTATGGCAGTCAAAGATCTTAAAAGAAGCAGTCCATCGTACACATCGATTCTCCATAACTCCCCACGATGGGTGGTAACTACGCCGGAAAAAAATCTACCGACAGCGCGAAGACGGAAGGACACGCGACCCCGACAAAATATGCAATTGGTGTGCGAGACTTGGAGACTGCGTGCTTAGACAAACCCACAGCACTATGAGATCCGTACTTTCATTTAGCTTGACTGGAAACCCAACGCAAACGCGTAGAGTTGGATGTCAAGCGCATTAACATGCCCTATAGATTTTAAACAGGGATAAACACTATAACACGCAATATGCACATTATTATATCCGAATAAACAGTGGCAAGCCCGCAAACAGTTCTGATAGGAAAATCTGACATGGTTCGTAGGACTGTCTATCATCCGTCGTGGTGGAGCTTTCATTGAGGTAACTTCTATAAGGCTCGAAAAGCATTGTTAAGTAGTCCTCCCTCGCACATGCATGCGGCATTTGCTGCAGTCATGACTGATCAGCCTTCGCGACACAAAGCTCCATCAGACTCCTGTGGAAATTATATTTTTTGAACTGCGTCACCCTTTCCGACTTGTGCACACATTATTTCTCGAACTCAGCAGAAGCATGGAAATCCCGCTCCGAAGCCCACGCCATCAACCCACGCTTCTTGCACTCATGCGACTGCTTGGGTTATGCACTTAAACAAACGCCGACCTGCAGGCCGTGCTTGGGGAATGACATAATTTATTTAGAATATAACACGCTTCTTTACCCTTCGCCGCATTTTACCAAACATAAAGTTAGAGCATCTTACTCTGCTCTCCCTTTATTATTAATAAAATTTTACATACGTACATAGAGTATTGGGTTCTAGTATGGATAATCTGCTCTGTTAAGCTCATTTTTTATTGAAAGTAGCTTACAGGGAGGAAATGGCTCAATCTCCCATGTGAAAAAAAGACTTTCCACAGGCCTGACAACAGCTTCATCTTGCTAGGGATTTCGTTTATTTTTTTTTGGTTTCGGCTTAAGGGTCTGATGCAGAAACTCTGGGCAGAATGCTAGCGGCGGCAGTGGGGACCAAAGTGGTGTTCCGAAGAATTTGGTTTAATTTTTTTTTCTCTTCAGAAGAGCTAAGTTCAATTAACCACTCGAAGTAGGCTTTTGATTAGGCGAACGAAATTTAGTAAACAAAGGTTCCCTATGTTCCTGTACTAAGCTGAATCTTCTTTCCGGTTTGGGTTTTCCTATCAAGCAGACCGTAAAATACGTCAGATATTTGTAAATTTGAGATAGGACCGCGGATCGAAATATCCACCAACAGCGGTTATTCATAACAACAAAATATTTTCATACATAGAAGGAATCAACTAATTTGTTATTGCTCTACATAAATGTGCAGAGTTAATTCAACAGATTGAATTAACTAAAACTGAACAAGTCCCGTTTCCAGCCTGAATTCACAGGTCTTACTGAAAAGTCGTTACGTAGCGGTGCACCAGGATGGAGAATGCATTCATTGTCTTAATACGTTATGCCGGTAACTTTGATTTTTGGTGAAGATTGTTTGAACGGTGTTTCCTAGTAATGAAGGTGCAGGATATCTTACGGATGACTAACGCAGCTTCATGTGCACTTACATATGAGCACCATCCCCAATCGGACGGGCATTACACTGCTTAATAGCCTCCTGGGCCCAACCATAACATTTAAATGGCCAGATAGCACACTCAGGAGCCATGCAAGGCAGCTCTATGTTTAGAAGAAGAAGAAGAAGAAGAAG